CACAACTGTATAGGAGGATGGAATGGACGGCTGCACTGTAAACTGTCATTCAGGACGAAAGTGATGTTATATCGGCGCCACATGTGGCGGAGAGTTGCAAAAGCGCCTCGAGAATTTGCTGTACGGTGCGTGGCCTCATCTTCGATCGTAAGCGTTCTACTATAGCTGCCCTGGTACTTTAATCCTTGAACCACTTCTAGCTGATCACCGCTAAAAGTCGGCGCAGGGGTGGGTCCCTGACAACCTTGAAGAAAGACTATGCATTTCGAGGGAGCAGAGGAAAGCTCAAAATGATTGACAGCCAGTGGTTTTATTTAGTGCCACCTGGCACGATGGAAACTGTCACAGATAAGGGAAATGTTGTTGGCGTACTCCAAGTCAAGAGGTTGTTCACCTGGGAGCCACTCCACGCCATGCAGGTCGCGGATAGCGAACGCAATTTCAATGATTTCATCAATAGAGAGGTTAAAAAGGAAAGGTGGCAGTGGGTGGCTTTGTCTCACATCGCTGGAGATATTGAAGAACGGCGACAATTTGCCACAAACTCACTTTGTCCAAACTATGCGCATACTTATGAAACACAACGTATCATCAGATTGATGCGGTAGCCATAGGCAGCCCAAGAAACCCTACATTAGCGGATTTCTTTATACTTACGGTAGAACGAAGCAAATCTTAGGAAACAGCTAATGTGCCACAATGTGAAATGTCATCAGCAGTACGCAGGTATGCCGTACCGACGCCTCGCTGCTGCACAACCACCACCGATCGCGCGTGGGCAAAGGATGGTGTCAATGTCGCCCGGTCCCCTGCGCATGCTCGCACCCGCGACCGCCGGGTTGCAAGGCAGATGGCGCATGCTTTCGGCCATGGGCCATACTATAAATAAGATGTGAATGACATTCTAGCGTTTTGTTCATCAGAACAGCAGACCACACAGCTGTTGACATATCTAAACGTCACGCATGTCAAGTTGGGGGGTATTGTATGAAGTTCAGCGGTAGAACTGCCTCCCTTATTTGGATGCGCACTAGCCTCAGAGAGAAGGGACAGATTAAAAGGTCCGTCTACAGAAAAGCAACATGGTCTGACCAGTAGCTGCATTTGGCCAGCTTCATAGCAATGCAATACATGCGGACGCTTGTGAGGACCTTTAGTTGTGTCAGACGATTACGTTCGACCGACTGCCTGGCCAACATACTGAAACGGATTACTCATCATCATCAACAGCAGTACATCAGCCATTTGAACTGATGCTTCGCTGCCATACAACCATGAGGACCTATGAAATAAAGAATAAGAAGAGGGAGAGAAGGGGGACTTACCTGAAAACCTTAATGCCCTAAGCAAACATTCAGGGACAAGGCGCCTACACCTTGTGTAGACAACATACCGTCACAAACAGCTGGCTATCGTGCAAAGATAAGGCGGCATCGGCGAGACAGCTTCCTTGCGGCTTTCACTGCCACGCGTCATAATCAGCCATTACCCCGCAGATAACTCAGCACCAAACACACTTTAAACAGACAACCCGATTAGGAGACGGCAGCAGACGCGCCACTGGTGTCGGTTGCGAGCCATGTCCTGTAAAGTCTCGAGCCAAGCACAAGGTGAGTCCCGTGGACTCCAACCCGGAAGGCGAGACGGACCAACGGCACCCAGTTTAGTTGTCAGTGACTTCATTTCTCGCTGCCAAGTCAACTTCTGTCCACCTCGAGCCTTGCGCCATCCGACACCTGGTAGACTGAACAAGGCCCTCCTAGGTAAGCGGTGACCAGGCATGCGTAGCACGTGCACGAGCCAACGTAACTTATTCAGTGCTATCTGTTGTTCTAGGGAGCTAGCATGATCATCACCACCTAGTACTCGCCTACGCACATCATCGTTGCGGACACGCTGGTGCCATCCGACACCAGCAATGCTTCGCAAACAACGATGATCAAAGACTTGAAGGCGCCTCAGATCTTCAGACCGAAGGGGCCAAGTTTCACTACCATAGAGCAGAACGGCCCTCACTGTGGCCTTGTATACCCGGCCTTTCAGACGGAGGGAAACTCCCTTCTGTCGCCAAAGATGACGCAGGTTCAAGAAGGCAGCTCTGGCCTTTGCAATGCGTGAGCTCACGTCAGTTTCTATGCGCCCATCATTGCTGATGCAGCTGCCAAGATAAGTGAATTGATCAACCACCTCGAGTTCCTCGTTAGCAAGCGTCAAGGGGTCATCGAGTGGCTGGTGGTCCTGCAGCAACACTTTACACTTTGAAGGTGCGAAGTGCATACCAAATAATGGAACCACTCTGGATAGGCTATTCAGGGTTGGTTGTGCCGCCTCAACATTGTCGAAAAGCAAGACGATATCGTCCGCATAATCTAGATCAACTAACCGTTCACCAGGCAGCACTTCAACACCTACATCGTGAGATTCCGCAAGGGAACACTCCATGATAGAATCCACGACAAAATTGAACAAAAACGGGGAAATCGGGCAACCCTGTCGAACGCCACTTGTAGTCGAAAAGCTATCCGATAGGGCACCATAGACCCTGACGCGGCCTCTAGTGTTCGAGTATAGAGCACGAAGGATGTTCACATATTTCGTGGGAACACCTTTCCGCGCAAGTATTTCCAACAGAATCGATCGATCGACTGAATCGAACGCACTCTTGAAATCGAGGAACACAGCTATTGTCGGTCTGCGGTATGCGTGGCGCTGCTCTAGCACCTGCCGCAAAGTAAATATATGGTCTATACAGCCACGTCCTGGGCGAAAACCGGCCTGCTCTTCTCTAATCCGAGATTCCCGTTCTGCAGTGAGGCGACGAACGATAATCGAGGCCAGTAAGTTTGTCACAACTGGAGTTAGGCTAATACCCCTGTGGTTCGCACAGTCTGTGCGACTGCCCTTCTTGTATATTGCCACTATAATCGATTCGCTCCAATTAGCCGGCACACTCTCTTCGTTCAAGATACCTTCGAATAAGGTCAGTGCTTTGCAGAGGACCTCACCTCCATCCTTAAATAGTGCAGGTGGGAGGGAATCCGGCCCAGCGGCACGAAAACGATTGAGGGCTGTGATCGCGTTTCGGACCTCGGCCTCCGACGGAGGCTCTAGACTAACCGTCCATGGCTCGTCCTGCATCACCTGAGTAGGAAGAGGTCCGGGAGCAGGGGGGCCAGCTGAACTGATGTTCAAAGTGCTCAGCCCAACGAGCCATACGGCGCTCCTTATTGTGTATCAGCGCACCCGCGCTGTCCCTGATTGTCTCACTGACGCCTGGTTTCCTCGGACCAGTGGTGCGTATTAGCTGGAAGAGCTTCCGGTAATTGCCTACTGCTCCTGCCTCCTCCATTTCTTGAGCCCGACTGGTCCACCAGGCTTCCTTGTCAGCACGTAGGCTCCGCTTTAGTTCACGCCTAATAGCCCGTCTGGTCACATTGTGTTCAGAACCAGCCGGGAGGTGCCTTCTAGCTTCCAAAAGGTTCACGGACCTCTCGGATATCCAGTGACTGGTGCGATGACGACTGATAGTGCCACAAGCAGATGCTCCTGCGTCGTGTATAGTGGCCAAAATCCTATTCCACTGAAGTTCAGTTTCATTAGGAAAAGACAGCGAGAGTTCGCTATGCAGTGCTTCTTGATAGGCTTGCCTGACAGAGGGCTGGGACAATTTCTCCGTTGCCAATCGGGGGAGACGCTTTGTGCGCCTTCCGGTAAAGTTCATGGAGAAACGACAGCGCACCAAGGCATGGTCAGAGTCGACACAGGTACTCCAGTACGAGCGGTAATCCAGAATGGAACCGCGCCACCTGTAACTTATGGCTATGTGGTCAATTTGGGTCCATCGCTGAACAGCTACAGGTGGACGCCAAGTGGCACTTCGGCGCCCACTGTGTCTAAAAGCAGTGCTAGTAAGAAACAACTGGTGCTCCGCACACAGTTGCAGCAGACGCTCGCTGTTGTCAGTCCGTTCGGCGTTAAGTCCATACTTACCACCCAGCTGAGCTTCTGAAGAGCTCAGACGCCCTACTTGTGCGTTCATATCCCCTGCAAGTACTATAATATCTGAACTAGTAGCACTGCGTAGCAACGTGTTCAGTTCGTGATAGAAAGTGTCCTTGACTGCATTAGAACTGCAGTCCGTGGGAGCATAAGCAGAAATCACAAACAAACATCGTTTTGTTTTACTTCGCGAATTCACCTTAGCTGATGTCGTCAAACGGGCTGCACATAAACGGCTGTTCACCGGAATCCAATCAACCAACGATGACTCAGCCTTGGAGCTGAGAATGATACCTACACCAGCTTGACCCGTGAGTGCCGCATCGGCGCCTCCGGATGCGTGCAACCAATAACGAGAGGATAAGCCGGGTGCAGTAGTATGAAAGAGAGGCATCAGCATACGCCCGTACACAGTACTGATGTGGTAATATACGAGAAGAGCAGTCGCACAGACTGTTGTGACAAAATTGCTGACCTCGATGCTCGTTCGTCATCTCACTGTGGAACGGGAATCTCGGATTAGGGAAGAGCAGGCAGGTTTCCGTCCAGAACGTGGCTGTATAGACCATATATTCACTCTGCGGCAGGTGCTAGAGCAGCGCCACGCATACCGCAGACCGACAATAGCTGTTGTAGGACTAGTTAACAGTAGTCCGATACGGTGCGCGAAGTTAAGCGCGGATATCAGAAGGCAATTGGAGTCGGACACAGGGGACTGTATTCGATGGGCTACAAGACGCGGACACATGAAGCGAACACGTGAGCGCGAGAACTTACAAGGCAGTCGAGAGTGGAGCCGGTTGTAAGGACGATTAGAGAGGGAATAATGTACAATCGGTTAGCAATGAAATTGTACATGAAGGATAACAGTTATCTATTTGGGCGCCACAGAGCTCCCCCCTAGAAGACTGAACATAGAAAGTCTTCGATTTTGAAAAGGACTGTTGAATCGAGGTTCGTAAGGCAAAATCGTGCCGAGTAAAAATTAGAGAGCGTTCGCGTCAAATGGGGTTCGCCGGAAGTCGGAGTCCACTGTGCCGTTTGTCATCATCATCATCATCATCATCATCATCATCATCATCATCATCATCATCATCATCATCATCATCATCATCATCATCATCATCATCATCATCATCATCATCATCATCATCATCATCATCATCATCATCATCATCATCATCATCATCATCATCATCATCATCATCATCATCATCATCATCATCATCATCATCATCATCATCATCATCATCATCATCATCATCATCATCATCATCATCATCATCATCATCATCATCATCATCATCATCATCATCATCATCATCATCATCATCATCATCATCATCATCATCATCATCATCATCATCATCATCATCATCATCATCATCATCATCATCATCATCATCATCATCATCATCATCATCATCATCATCATCATCATCATCATCATCATCATCATCATCATCATCATCATCATCATCATCATCATCATCATCATCATCATCATCATCATCATCATCATCATCATCATCATCATCATCATCATCATCATCATCATCATCATCATCATCATCATCATCATCATCATCATCATCATCATCATCATCATCATCATCATCATCATCATCATCATCATCATCATCATCATCATCATCATCATCATCATCATCATCATCATCATCATCATCATCATCATCATCATCATCATCATCATCATCATCATCATCATCATCATCATCATCATCATCATCATCATCATCATCATCATCATCATCATCATCATCATCATCATCATCATCATCATCATCATCATCATCATCATCATCATCATCATCATCATCATCATCATCATCATCATCATCATCATCATCATCATCATCATCATCATCATCATCATCATCATCATCATCATCATCATCATCATCATCATCATCATCATCATCATCATCATCATCATCATCATCATCATCATCATCATCATCATCATCATCATCATCATCATCATCATCATCATCATCATCATCATCATCATCATCATCATCATCATCATCATCATCATCATCATCATCATCATCATCATCATCATCATCATCATCATCATCATCATCATCATCATCATCATCATCATCATCATCATCATCATCATCATCATCATCATCATCATCATCATCATCATCATCATCATCATCATCATCATCATCATCATCATCATCATCATCATCATCATCATCATCATCATCATCATCATCATCATCATCATCATCATCATTATACATGTCAGCTAGAGATGGTAAAACACCTCCGCTATTGTACCGCAATACATAAAGGAAATACATACATACATACAATACATAAAGGAAAAATAAATACGACAGTTGAATGCCAGCTGAGCTACCAGCAACGGATCCGCATCGTTCCGGTAAGCTACTAGCCGGCTACTAGGCAAAAGCAAAAATTTAATTACGTTTTACCCTACGAAATAAGATCGTAGATGGAGGGAGAGGCTAAAGGGATGGGGAGGAACAAAGAAACTCACAGCACGAACGCCACTGAGGTCGGCTCCTTGCCATATCAGCAAGTGTATCCAGCCAAACGTGTTCATCGTCTTTTGGACCCCAACCAGGGAGCCGAGACGCTCCAACTGAGGCCAGCTCCGAAGTGAGGGCCTTCATTCCTCTGGACCAAGTCATCGCTTGGCCACCTCTCCTCTTCTTCCACCCACATCCCCGGTGAGCAAACAACGCACGTCGAGGGAGCCGATGGGCTGGCATGCGCAACACGTGGCCCAGCCATCGGAGCCTGGTGAGTGAAATGACGGTGCTGAGCGGTTCATTCCCTTTTCCTAGGTCGTAAACAAGGCGTCGAACACGCTCGTTACTCACGCGGTGTTCCCACCAGATGTGAGCCAAACTGCGAAGGCACCGATGGTCGAACGTAAGTAGCCTCTTCATGTCCGCCGATCTTAGGGGCCAGGTTTCGCAACCGTACAGTAAGGTCGAACGTACCGCTGCATTGTACACTCTACCCTTCAGGGCGAGAGTAATGTCGCGCCGTCGCCATAGGTGGCGAAGGTTAGCAAAAGCACTTCGAGCTTTCGCTATGCGGTTCGTGATCTCGTCTTCGATCCCAAGGGCGCTGATACAACTTCCCAGGTAATTGAATTTCTGAACGACTTTTAGCTGATCCCCACCAAGGGTCAGCACAGGGGGCGAACCCTGCCAATCCTGGAGGAACGCTTTGCACTTCAGTGGTGCAAAGCAAAGCCCGAAGCGACTGACAGCCAGTGCTAATCTGTCCAGCGCGGCTTGACACGTCTGGGAGCTGTCACAGATTAGGGCAATGTCGTCTGCATACTCTAAGTCAAGAAGTCGTTCTCCTGGGAGTAGCTCCACACCTTCCAAGTCATGTCCTGTAAATGCAATCTCCATGACTTCGTCAATAGCGAAGTTGAATAGGAAAGGTGACAGCGGGCATCCTTGTCTCACACCGCTGGAGATATTGTAGGGTGGCGACAGCCCGCTGTAAGCCCTTACTCTGCCCGTGCTACGCGCATATAATGCTTGGATAATATTTACATATTTTTCGGGCACACCTTTCCTGAGTAGACAATTCCAAAGGGCACATCGATCAACCGAATCGAAGGCACTTTTGATGTCGAGGAACACGACTACGGTGGGCCGCCAATATGTGTGACGGTGCTCCAACAACTGACGCAAGGTGAAGATGTGGTCGATGCAGCCACGACCTCGACGAAACCCGGCTTGCTCCTCACGAATTTGGCTTTCACGAGCGCCAGTCAGTCTGTGGAGAATTATGGAGGCGAGTAATTTGGAGGCGATGGAGATCAGACTGATTCCTCTATGGTTGCCGCATTCCGAGCGCGAGCCGCCTTTGAAGATGGGAACAATAACGGAGCGGCTCCAGTCGCTTGGGACAGTTTCCTGCTCCCACAGTTTCACTAGTAATTCATGCAAAGCATCAACAAGAGCACAGCCTCCAAATTTGAAGAGGGCTGGAGGAAGATCATCTGGTCCCGCGGCTTTGTTCAACTTCAACAGTCCGATCTCACGTTCGACTTCTGAGCGAGAGGGTGGATCCAAAGGGACAGCCCACGGAGCGGGGCGATTAGTGACCGGCGAATCGAACAATTCTTGCCGATTAAATTGCTTTTCAAAATGCTCAGCCCAACGCTCCAGACGTTTTGACAAATTGTGGATAGGCTGTCCACTCTCGCCACGTATAGTTTCACTAACACCAGGTCTCCTGCTGCCCGTTTCCCGTATCAGACGGAATAACTTACGATGGTTGCCAAGGACAGCGGCCACTTCCATTTCTGACGCACGATGAGACCACCAAGATTCGCGGTCTCTCTTCAGGCTAGCACGGAGTTTTGCCCGGAGCTCTTTGCGAGTTTCATTGTACTCGCTTCCAGCCGGGATTTGCCGGCGAGCATCTATAAGTTCCAGAGACTGCGAAGAGACCCAATGTCCATGTTGTCTATTAGACATACCACATGAGGATTTGCCTGCTGCTAGTAAGGTCTGGCGAACATGTGACCAGTGACCATCAATGGTCTCCTGTGAGCGCTTGCTCAACTCGCATGTTAGCGTACTTCGATATGCATTCAGAACAGCTGGTTTTGTCAGTTGGCTGGTGTCAATACGCTCACAGCGTCGTCGTGGGCGTCCGCCAAAACGCATCTGCATGTCAGCACATACAAGTGCATGATCGGTGTCCACACATGTGCTCCAAATCGAGCGACAATTCTGGATGCAGCCTCTCCAGCGGTAACTTATCGCAATGTGATCGATCTGCGTGCAAGAATGGTTCGAGGTTGGTGGGCGCCAAGTCACCCTTCGGCGGGTGCTGTGTCGGAAATTAGTGCTCGCAAGAAATAAGCGAGCATCTTCACACAAATGAAGTAACCGCTCACCGTTATCATTACAGGAGCCTACACCGTGTTGACCGCCCAGATGCAGTTCATCAGTGGACAACTTTCCAACTTGTGCATTCATATCCCCCGCCAGCACAACAGTGTCCGTGCTTCTTCTGTGGCGAAGGAGCTGGGTCAGTTGGCGGTAGAAGTCGTTCTTTACCGAATCATCGCTACAGTTTGTGGGCGCATAGGCAGCGATGATGAATAGACATCTATTAGTCCCGCGCGACTTCGAAGCTTTAAACGAGCCAGCCAATCGGACCGCACACATCCGGCTACTGATTGGAATCCAATCCACCAGAGCAGCTTCAGCCCGGGGACTCAGGGCAATACCAACACCGGCTTGGTCGGTGCTCGAAGCTGCATCGTCACCGGATAGACGCAAGGAGAAAATACTGCTTGCGTCCCCTGAAGGGGATCGCAGAGTGAGCACAGTGCTCGAGTCTTGCAGGCGAGTCTCTGATAAGCAGCAGATATCGATCGAGAGGGTCTCCAATGTTCGGGCAAGTGCTGCCTGTTGACCGATTTGTAGCAGTGTGTGTACATTGAGGCATGCCAATCTGAAGGAGGATCGAGGGCTCCAAATGGAAGCCGATGAACTGGATTGGACCGCTTGGTTGGACATGGGCTTGTCGACAGGAGAGGAGTGACGCTCCGCGTTCACATGTGAGTTGAAATTAGAAGGTAAATGCCTAGCAAAGCATGTTGGGGGAGGGCCAAGAATCGGGGGGTTGAAAACTGGGGGGATATAAGTGAAGTTGGAATGGGACGGTAAGATTGAAAAAGCGTAAGAGGGGGAATAAGAAGACGGGAAGGCTTGAGCAGTAGCATCCAAACCCCTACCCACCCTGCTCGATGTAGCAGATAGGGCACCGTTTATTATCCTCTGCGGTGGCCAGAGCATCAAGAAATTGTTTGAAGGAAAATTCATAGTATGTGCCGTTTGTGATATGTTATTTATTGATTGCAGGGCTTTGTGCATTTCGACGAGCTGTTGGAGCGGGCGTCGGACTACAAAAAACTGGCTAGCCCAGAAAAAGGCCGACGGGACCTCAACCTCCGCTGCTGCCAAACGGTGTGCTTGGGGGTGGTCTCTCCCCTCGCCGGACCCCGCCCCGCGCCAAAACGACTCTCATCTCATGGAGAAACAACCATCGTCCCGCGAAGAAGCGACACTCGTCTCGCGGAGAAGCGACCTTCGTCTCGCGGAGAAGAGACACTCGTCCCGCGGATAAATGACCAGCGTTCGCGTCAAGGTCCTCGAAAACATTCCTCGTGCGGGCGTCGATCGAAGGGGGGGGTTAGGGCATGTAGAGACGGGAAAATAGAAAAACAAGCGCAGAAAATGCAAAAAAGAACGAACGAACAATCTGCGTGTCAAATTTTTTTAGTTTTTGGATATTTTTTAAAAGGTTTTTCGGAGGTTTTTGATGTTTCTGTTTGTTTTCAAAACGTTAAACAACCAAAAACGGGACAAATATATAAAATAACTACAAACTTAAACGTATTTACACTGTACACAGTCGGAGAAACGAACGGGCTTACGCACCTCCCGACCATGGCGATTGGTCGTGGAAGGTGGAGGGCTAGATTCCGGAGATCTCGAGACGGCTGAAGCTTGTAGACCGAGATCGTGGTCTGGTTGAACTGCACTAGGATTCTGTAAGCTGGTACGGTGAGTTGTGACGTCGCACGAAGTACTACTAGACGAAGTAAGCGAGATGGTTTATTCCATAAAGGCGGGTTTTAGACGGTCGATGGTGACGACTTCGCGTCGACCACCGCGGTCAATTGTGTACGTCTTACTCGCACGGTGTAGCACTTTAATAGGTCCTGTGTACGGCGACTGAAGAGGCTGTCGAACACCGTCTGAACGAAGGACGTATGAGCACGTAGACAGCTTCTCAGGCAAGTACACTGGTGTTTTCTGCGATCGAGGAGCGGGTGGACGCAGCTCACGCATCTGGTGAGCCAATTCATCGGTGTAACTTCCGTAGTCAAAAGATGAAGTAGAGGGGCTGGTGCTACTAGTTGTCCGGGCAGCCGCAGCATGCAACCGTAGACTAGCTGCGCTGGTGTTGCGTTGAAATCGGTTTTAACAGTGTTTCTTAATCCTAGGAGGACGAGGGAAAGTGTTTCGGACCATGAAGGATCTGCGTTCGCCCGTAGCGCTGCCTTCAACTGGCGGTGAAAACGCTCCACCATGCCGTTAGCGGCCGGATGAAACGCCACCGTCTGAACGTGGTGACAGCCTAAATCCTAAAGAAACGTGGCAAATGTTGACGAGTAATGTGACTCTCGATCGGTGGTCACGATGGCGGGACAGCCGTATTGAGCTAC